CGACAGGCTGTGCCCAGCCCCCAGGGCTCCCCGAGCCTGCCCACGGCCCAGGACCCCGTGGCCCTCAGCCCCTGCCCCAGCGATGCCCCAGCAGGGCTGGTCTCCAGCTCCCCCCAGCCCTGCCTGCCCACGGGCCCTCGCTGAGCCAGACCCATGTCCCATCCCTGTCACTGTGGCCCTGCCTGGCGATCATGGCACCTGATCTTAGCCCTGGCCTGCGGATTGACTTCTTGGGCTGACCCCAGACCTGTCTCATCGCCATGACGTTGCCTGGGTTCTTGGTTGGACCTGGCCACGATCTGCAGGTCTGTCGTGCTCACCTCCTTGGGTGTGTGGGACAGCCCTGCACAGCAGGGAGCCCCACAGCTCCTGTCTCCTGTCCTGCCGGATGACAGACATGCAAGGTCATAACTGCTTGTGAGCACTTAAAGTTCCTGTGACCTTTTTTTCCACTGAAAAAGGAGCATGATCTCCTGTATCCTAGTCAGATTTCAGTCGGAGTGATTACATTCAGGCTCCCATAATTACTTGACAGACTTCGGTTGTTGAAACTCATCTCTATGGAATCCACTTGGTTGAGAATGAGGATTTCTATTTGTTCTTTTAGGCCTCTTTTCTGGTCCTGGGGGTTTGGTTTTTGTTTTTATTTGAGTTTTGTTTGTTTGCGTGGGTTTTTTTTGTTTGTTTGTTTTTAGTGTAATTTTTGTTTTCAGAAAATCAAGGCTGTTTTTATTTGTGGCCATGTGTCTGCTAGTGGATATGGGAGGAAAAAAGGTGTGCTGTGTAATGCCTGAAGGAAAGTTTTGTCTGGTTTGTGGATACAAAGCTTTGGCACTTTTCCTTTAAGCATATTTGAATTTTTCTGAGAAGGTGGAAATGTTTCATCTATATTCCCCCATAGATTTGAACCAGCATACCTGTTTTCCACACTCGCTCATTGCCAGGTGTCTCGTGCCTCTTCAGTTGGTGACACTGGTCCCTGGAAGCTCTGCTTGGTTGGAGTGGGTGACGATAGCTGACTCTCATGCGTGTAGCTAGGGGAAATACATCGTGTGCCCTTAACTGCTGTCATTGGTGAGTTCAGCTAAACTTTTCGTTGAGGGAGGATGTTTTTTCCTTCTTTTTGCACTGTCATCTTTCTGGAAATTTAAGAAAGCAAGCTATATTGTAGCCTGGGAGGCAGGTGACAGAGACCACAGGGAAGAACAGGAGACTACAGAAAAACTAGAAGGGAGAAGAAACAGAAGTGGCAAAGAATGGAAGTTAATACAAGAAAAAGGTTAGAAAGCAGGAGAAAGAGCGTGAATATTTTTCTGTCTGTATTCTAAGAATATGCCTGTTGCTGTCTCCCCAGGAGGTTTATGCAGAGCTTTGTGGGGAAGCAGCAGTGAATTGCTCCTTTGGATGCTAAGTGTAAAATTAAAGCTGGCAGGGTCTCAGAGCACAAGACTGGGAAGCTAATAGCTCCTAATAACATATTGATTTTCACAGATCTCTGGCATTATGTCAGGGCGGTTTTGAATCAGCACCTGGTTTCTTCCTCTTCCCATCTCCAAGCTAATGGCAATGAAGCTTCTGGCTTTGGGATTGCAAATAAATGCTGCTCTGGATCTTTTTGCTTTACAAATCTGTGGGTCTCTGAAACATGGTTTCCCCCACTGCTCCTATGCATGTGCCTGTGAGATGTCCAAGTATAGTAGCGACCCAAAAAGTAGCAGGATGGAAGGAATGTGCATGTATTTTAAACTTGGATAACTGTGCTGCTGCCTTTATTTATGGTGCTGAACAAAAAGATTACAGTCCCATTGCTGCAGATGGCCGAGGACAATTGAATGGATGCTTGGAGGAGGCTGAGGTCACCTAGTTGTTGCCAGGTTACATTCAACCCTGAGCAGATTTGCTGTTTGTGTTGCGCAGCTATAACATGCCTTCCTCAAGTTTTGGGGACTGTCAGTACAAGGTTTTATTTGAGTGACTGCTATTAGGCAATACCCTCCTGAAGGGGTATTTTTGTAGCTGGAGGAAATGGTGTGCTTGCAAGGAGATGGTCTGAAAAAGCTCCCAGATACTCCAGATGGTGAAGACTTGCAAGGTGAAAATTAGATCTCTTTTATTTTTAAAAGATGTCAAGTGCATAGGTGGTCTGAGCTAGGCCAGGCTTAGGTCAGGATAGGGCACAAGCAAGAACAGAAACTCATCTATTATGGTTGTGCAGACCCTGTTTCAACTATTTCAGGCTATTTAATTTTATCTGCTTAATTGTTACAGAGATTTATTGCTCCCTGTTTGCAGCAGACTGGACAGAGAAGGGACAGTAATACCTGATTTAGGCTACTGCGGGGTGTCACTTGAAACACCGTCTAGACTTTTGTGCCATCTTCAGCAATTCTAAGTGTTCTTCAGGTCCTTCTCACATAAGTATAATAATAACAGTTGGTATTTCTTGTCTAAGGACACTAATTTTCTGGCAATGGGATCAGTGGAGCTGAAGGACACGAATTCTTTTTGAAGGGAAGAGACTCATTATTACCATGCTTTCAGGTCGTTGTCTTCTAGTGTCTGCAGAAAAACTCGTGGTTCCAAAGCACCCAACGCGTGGTGCTGTGCAGAAGGAAGCAGCAGAGCTGGGGGCACTTCTGTCAGCTACTCCCACTCATAGTCCTGATATCCTCCACCCCCTTCTCGCAGCTATTCAGGCGGTAGGGCAAGCAACTGTTTCATGCAAGGCACATCTGAGCTGAAGGCGTCAAAAGAGCCATTTCATGCTTGACTGCATTTTCTAATACAATCCGCCGAGAGAGAGAGGAAAGGGAGCACAGAGGGTTTGTGTGTACATACGCATTCCTTTGAGCGTATGTATAATATACAGTACATTTAGTTCCAGCTTGCAGCTGTGGGTGGCAAGTAAGAGGTGCAGACGTGAGGGGAAAGAGAATTGTGCTTTGAAAAGAAGAAACCATTCCCCCACCTTGAGAAAGAAGCTTTCTTTCCTTCTCTGTTTCTTGGCCAAGCGAAGATGTGAGTCCTCAGGGCAGCACTGGCAGCTGGAGCCCAGAAGGTGTATGTATGGCTGAGTGGGTGGTGCGTGTAGAGAGCTTCGTGTGTACAGACCATGACAGTATGTGGGGAGTGCAGCTCAGAAAACTGGTGAATAGGCATGCTGTTCACAGCCATCTTATTTTAATGGTGCTCCCACAAAAGTTTTCTTCTTAATGGGTTTGCATATCCCAGGACCAGAGGGGTGCTTTATACCAGCTATTAGTGCAGTGGGTCGCTGCCCCAGCACCGTCACAGTGATCCCCACCAAGCATTTTGTAACCATATACGTGTCTCCTCTGTGACTTTATCAGCTTGATACTTATATCCTTATTTATCATCTCATTTGCATATTTATTAGACGCTACAGTTCTGTTAGTGGCCATTGTGGAGCTGAAGGACATATGCCCATTTCCAGCATGGACATATGCCTGGTCCTCAGTTTCCCATCCGTCTACCCTACTCTAGCATCTAACATATAAGCATTGAGAGGATGTAAGGATTGCCTCCATCAAGCTTGCCGTTTCCCTCTAGAAGTTCTGCTTCTGTCAGTAGGAGTGGCCTGGCTGGGAAATATGGGAAAAAGGGGTGAAACATAAGGAGAACATCTAGATGCCAAATACCTGTTGTTGCAGTTGGGTAAATTCAGTGGGGTGTTAGCTTTCTGGGATATGTGTGGGGTGCCCGGTGTGAATCCCAAACATTTGAGAAAACTGTAGTTAAACTGTAAGAGGCACTGGTAATAGGGAGCTGAACTGGTCTTTTTTTTTTTTATCTCTGGGATTTTTATATGTAGTTTTGTGGTACAAGTCCTACATGGAGCAGTCTCTACAGCTCTGCCTTTGGTAGGGGTTGGCTGTGGGGAGAAGGGTCTCTGATTCATACATTAATATATTTATGTAGATAAGTAAATTTTGCAGATAAAAATGCTTTGGTGCATATTCCCAGACTGAAACTATGATTGCCATGCCATAGTGGTTGCTGCAGTTCTGTCACAAGACTTAAATTCTGCCCACTTATAGAAGAAGATCAGTTTCTGCAGGCAAGACCCTGAACAAATAGAGAATGTTAAGTACTATAACTCCTTTCCTCAGCTGAACTTTCTATTTTCTTTGACATCCTCAGAGGTGGTAGAAAAATATAATTTCTTTCCTTGCAGGTTTGTGTTGTGTTTTGTTCCCCCCCCCCGCCCCGGCTTTCATTGTGTCTCCATCTCCTGACTTTTCCTGTGTTTGAATGACACTTAAACTTGCAATGGAGTTTGGTTTGTTCCTTTCTTCATTTGCATTGCAGTGTCGTCGTCGGTCGTGTCAGCAGACCTCTACTAACATTAGTTGTTAGTAAAAAATAGGAGAGATATAAAACCACTAACCGGCTCAAATCTGATGTAGGATAGACCTGCAAGGAACCTTGCTTCATACAGTTGTTTTTCTTTAAAGTGCTAGCAATGGAATGAAATTACTCTCTAAAAAAAGTAACAGCTCTTAAGAGTACCAGCAATAGGAACTCTGAACCTTCAAAAGCAAGACTAAATGATCTAGTAGAAGTGTTGTAGACGTTACTTAAAGTAGTCATTACAGCCAGTGCTAGGGAAGGCTGGAGTAATGGAGGAGATAGCATTTTCTGGAAGTTGTGAAAAATCGAGGCGTTTCCAGCTTATTATCACAAAAGGACCCTGGGGCTAACACTCTTGTCCTTGGGGATTGTGCCTCCATGGATACTGCTGCGTCCAGTTGTGGTGAATGTCATATCTTTGTTTGCTGCTCATACTTGCCACATAGGGTTGCGGGATGCAGTTAAACAGTTGCTGTGTTTTTCTCCAGTTATGTACCTTACTATGGCAAGTCGTATGGTTTCTGTAAACACAGTGCTCTATGACACATGTCAAGGTTCTTCAGGAGTGAAGATCGCACAAAGGTGTCATTTCTTTTAATTTTTTGCAATTGTTTGCTGATTCCTTGCAGAGGCCTCTATCTTGAGCTATGATGGCAGCATGTACATGAAGATCATCATGCCTATGGTCATGCATACAGAAGCAGAAGATGTGTCCTTCCGTTTCATGTCCCAGCGCGCTTATGGGCTGTTGATGGCAACCACCTCACGAGACTCTGCTGACACTCTGCGCCTGGAGCTGGATGGAGGCCGTGTCAAACTTATGGTCAATTTAGGTATCGTATAAAAACCTTCTGCTGCCCCTTCACTATCAGTTTGGGCTTGTGATTAGTGGTTTTTTTAGTCATCTTGTTTAATTTCTGTTGGTTTGATTGGATTGGACTGATTTCTAAAATAACTGCTGAGGCCTTCATAATGATACTCTCTTGCGGAGAGAAAATCTCTTCTGCATTGCTGCATGAAGATTTGCTGTCAGTTCTTCGTTATGGACAGTGTTGGTTTTTAAGTCTTTAAGTTTTTAAGTTTCCTTTCTTGGTCTGGGACTGGTGAGCTCTGTGTGAGACATGCTGCTTAGTCCATCTTTTGATCAGTTACATCCCTCATTCATCCAGCATCACTCAAAACAGTCAAAGCCAAACACGGGAGGGAAGCAAAGTGAATATAGTGGCAAGCAGAAGTCCTGTGAATCCTATGCCCTTTACAGAATTTGGCAGCGTTTGATACAAGTTGGTCTGTTTTACGAATTTGCTAATTATTTCTTTTTTCTAATTGGTATCATCTTTCAGCCTTTAGGGCTTTTTATATCTAGTAAATCTGGGGGGTTTTGATTGTGTATCTGTTAAAATGAAGGCAATAATAAAAGTGCATCCCCTCCCTTCCCAAACGGTTGTGTTCTGTCTCCTTAGAGTTACACTTACCCAGAAAATAATAAAAAAAGACAATTAGAAACAAGTCCAACAATAAGAACAATGGAAAAAAATATCTGAGTGAATGTGCTGTTACATTAGCCTCAATCCATTTTCTTGTCAGTCTTTAGGTATTGTACTGATTGACAATAGCCTTTTTAAAGAATGTAAATAGATGAGTTGAAGCTTTCTTTCACTTTTCTGTGGTGCAACTCGTTGCTTCATGTGAATCCAGGAATATAACTAAGAAGAGATTCTGAGTCAGAGAGGCAGAACTATCAAGATAGGGCATAATGTTAAACCTCTTCTAATATGTATGGTACTCTATATGACGATGTGTGCGTGGTCTGGGAAAGCTTTCAAAATTCGAAGCCCCACTGGAACAAACTTTCCTATTTTCTGAGCTAACAGTATCAGCATCTTCAAAGCCCTGCTGTGGTGATATCAGGAGCAAACCATGTAGTGGCTTTGTTTGTAGAGGGCAAAAAAAAGTATTATACGCCCATACCTGTAGTAATGGTTCTTGTTTTTTAACTCCTGTCCCAGCTAGGTATGGTGAGTTTATCAAGGTCTTGCTGCACCATAGATGAGTTTGAGTGGTGATCTTAGGGTTCCTTATTCTCTCGTGGGCAATATGTTGTCTAGCAGTTGTCCTCTGGAACTAGCTTGTTTTTTAAAATTGCTTTTAGTGTCTTTTTGGTTTTGAAAGTGCAGGTCAGACCCTAATAACTGCTTTTGGAATAGGAAAGTGAAGAGAAGAAGATGCCTTTTAAACAAGTTCATATCTCTTAAAAGCAAAGAGTCTCCATCTAAAGGGCTATAGAAACCCTTGCTTTTTATTAAGAAAAAAATTAAGAAATAGAAAATGAAGTGTTATAGGGTTCCTGTTTGGAGTATATATATGCTCTGCTTAGCTTCACTGGAGAAGTGTAAAGCACTGTTGATTGTCTAGCTAGCACAGGAGCAGTTGCTGTGCTATCCAGGCTGGCCAGGATGACAGAGGGACAGATCTTCAGCTATGACAGTAAGTTTTCAAATAAAGAGAAACAGCACCCCGATGATAGCCATCTCTGCCTATATTAACTTTAAGTGAAGTACAATTTCATAGATTTGCAGAGTTTCTCTGGAGAACAGCTCAAAAGAGTTGCTGTTGAGGATTCTTACATGCGCAAAGAGAATCTTTCACAAAACTCCACTGCATGTGCATATATATATCTATCATAGAATCATAGAATGGTTTAGGTTGGAAAGGCCCTTGAAGATCATCGAGTTCCACCCCCCCTGCCATGGGCAGGGACACCTCTGACTAGACCAGGTTGCCCCAGGCCACGTCCAGCCTGGCCTTGAACACCTCCCGGGATGGGGCCTCAACAACCTCTCTGGGCAACCTGTTCCAGTGCCTTACAACCCTCAAAGTGAAAACCTTCTTCCTAATGTTTAATCTAAACCTGCCCTCTTCCAGTTTATATCCATTCCCCCTCGTCCTGTCACTACGTGCCCTAGTAAAAAGTCCTTCCCCAGCTCTCCTGCAGGGCCCCTTTAGGTACTGGAAGGCCGCAATAAGATCTCCCTGGAGCCTTCTCTTCTCCAGGCTGAACAGCCCCAACTCTCTCAGCCTCTCCTCATAGGAGAGGTGCTCCAGCCCTCGGATCATCCTCGTGGCTCTCCTGGACAGTTCGTCTGCATTTTCTTCTGACCTAATACAGTTGGTGCTAATAATCTGGTAAAATTAGATTATTTTTTTTCCCCACTGTTTCCTTTCTTGGCAATTACTTCTAGCCATTTTCTTCTCAGAGAATAAACTTAATCACTGGAAGGCTGGCAGTAGCACGCTTCTGTCAGACAAGTGATGGGCAGCTGAGTATCTGCTTAGCTCTACACTACCCCCTTGTAACCCAGAGCCAATTCTTTTTCCTTGCATGCCTTAGTTTGTCTCTTTGTTGAAGACAGAATACTTTGCAACCTGCTAGGGATGTGGTAGTGTTTTAGGAAGTGCTGCTTCGCCTTTGGTACTCCCACATGAAAAGTACTACAGCATGAAAACTGCCAGACTTCATAAAAATTGTCACTCTTTCTTCTGAGAAAGGTACCACTTGTTTGATTTTGTTATGTCTTCATCTTCCTTTAAAATCAATGAGAACAGGATGAACTGCTCCTTCTGGGTATTCAGGGCCTCCTAGACTTAGTCCCTGTGTAAATAGGAGGAGAGCATATTTAGATAACCCTGAATGTCCTTACAATTTTTTACAGCTTAATCTCTTCTTTCCAGTTTTCCTTATATCATGCTGGCAGGCAATATTTTCCCTCAGGGCCTGTAAACATTGTGTGCCTGATTGGCGTTGGTTACCTTTAACACTCAACTGGGGTCTGTTACGCCGTCACCTAGCCTAGAGGTGGGCTGTTCAACTCCTACTGTTTGGCATCTAAAAGACATGGATAAAGAATTGACATATGGTCTACACATGTTTGGGAAGAGATGTGTCATCGATGGTTTAATACAGGGACAAAAATCTGTAAACCAAACCCAGTGTTAGCTGAAGGCTATTTTTGTGTAGTTGCAGAGCCTGAAGCAGTGTGTATGCCAGATTTGCCAGATTTTCAGCTGGAAACTTCTGTGAGGTTGAATCTCCCCAAAAAGTGAGTATAGGCTGCATCAGTGAAAACCTGTCAACGCTCTCCTTCCATGCCCGACTCAACAGAAGGGTAGTTTAGACTGTTCAAACATGGATTGAGCTTCATCCCTCCTCTCTTCAGATTTATAAAGCTGTCAGATACATTCCTTGAAACAGGACTTTCCTTCTATCAAAACGGCAAAGTTAGCTTGCTGTTGAAGAAATAGAATTTGAGGAGGAATGACCTTACCAGAGCCATTCATTTTCAGTTGTTTAGGTCACATATAAGTCTTTAAGGAGACTGTTCACAGCCAAAATGTCACAAGCGGTAACCAAATCGTGATTATCCAACCCTGCCAAAATCCCCTTACCAGTGAGAAACAGTCATCAGCACCACCTCTGAAGACCTGAGTGTGCTTGGTGCTGACTAGCGATGTGTCAGCATCCCCCCAAGTGTCTAACCTGTGACAGATGTGTGCAAACAAAGACTGTTTTGAGTGGTGAGTTTAATTGTGCTTTTCTTATAAGTCATTTAAAACTATTACTAAGAGCTGTCTTTTTCTTCTCGTCTTTGATCTATTCCATTTGATTACTTATTATCATTTGTGTGGTTATTAAGGTCTTTCCTACGTTGTTTTTTTTTTCTTCTTTTTTCTTTTTTCCTTCTTTTTTTTTAAACTCTTCTGTGTATTTCAGTTGTACAGCTTTCCCATACCCCATCAGCCATGGTAAATCAAAAGATGGTATTCAACCCTTCAAAGGCCTGAAGCCTGCGGCCCGCACAGCAAACAGCCCTGAGAACAGAGTGTACAGAGCAGCCTGCAGGGGCTGGCATATCCCTCTCACCCCCTCAGCGCTCAGTGTCCAAACCAAACAGGGGGATGGACGCATCGTACGGCGGGTGTGGGTGGGCCCCGGGCGGCTGGGTGCTTGCTGTAGAAGGTGGGAGGGAAAGGAGGAGCAGTGATCAATCATTCTTGGAGAGAGAGGGACGAGGAAGTTGTTTCAGACCTTTCCCGTGTGGGTGCCTGCAGCACTGCGATCTGCATGTTGACAGCACGGCTCACAGTCGTTTGGGTGTTTATTGTGTGAAGATTAGAAGTCCAAATGTGATACAGATCTCACTTCTGTTGAGAAGGACTCTGAAGAAATAGGTCTAGAGTGGAAGGAGAGACAGAGAGAGAAAAATGAAGCAAATCAAGCTTGGAACATGCTTGGGAATAATTTCTGATGCTGAGAAGATGTGCAGAAAGGGAAAGAAATGGCTGGTCCGATAGGGAGATACACCTTCACTTTTTTCCCTTCCCATTGGTGAGTGGGAGGGTTATAGTGTCACTGACTTATATTAAGTAGTATTTCAGGATTTTTTTTTTTCCTGGCCCAGCTTATCTTAAGGTCACTGGTGACTAAAATAAATACTGCCTGCCTCCTGTTAACCTGAGTGAGTTCTCTTGTAAGGAAACATAATCATCCCTCTTGCCTATCTTTTCCTATGATATCTCCTCAGGGGTGTCAAAAACATCTTTGCCTCTCCAAAATCCAAAGTTTCTTTTGTCATTCCAACATAAAAACAGAGCAGGCACATTTTTCTTTTTTAAATATATGTGAACTTTTATGCCAAATTTCCTTTTGTGCAAGTCATACACTCATACCTGCAAGTGTATGCTCATTCACAGTTTCTCATTAATAAATTTCTTTTCTATGATCAGTACATATAAGTGCTCTTGATTATGTTTTTTTTTAATTGTCATAGACATGCAAAAATATTTGTCAGCTGCCAGTTACAGGTGGGTGCACAGGCTGACTGCATACAAGTAGGAGAGAGGCAAGGAGCCACACTATATAACATGAGGTGAGAGCGTGCACAGGACCTCATCTGGTTTCCCCGTGGAAATAACCTAAAGGGAGCTTAGAAAACAGTCAGGCCTCCATTATATTTCTTGTCCTAGTCTTGCCTTAAAGTACTCTTCCATAACCACATGTGGATGCTCATCAAAGGGAGCAAACACTTTGTCCTCACACAATAAAGGTGACTTTCTTTCCTGATTCAGGGAAAAAACAGCCTGGGGCCTTAGCATGTCAAATAAATATTGCTATTTTGGGGCATAAAGATACAAATAGTAAGAAATACAGGCCTAATTTGCAGAGTTTCGTCTGCTACTAAAGAGATCTCCATTCAAGCATTGAATCCCTAGTGTTAGCTAACTGCAGTGGAGCTGTTTAACCTCTTCCAAGGAGTGGGTCTTTGGCCTATTTTCCAGGTGATGTGCTCTGAAAAACCTCCCATCTGAGCACTAAGGAAGCAGCTTCTGGTTTACATTGAGAATCATAATGAAAGAAGGTAACTGTAGAAAGTCTACACAGCTCATCCTGCTGGGATGGGAAGTTCATCCTGCTCCCCATGCAGTTACAGCCTGTTTTCACTTTACTGCTGTCCTTAGATTGCTCATCCAGTTGCTGAACTGGCAGGTGACTGGATTTACAGCTGTTTAGGCATACTTATCTTCAAAACTTAAAGCAAAGGGAAACCTTTGAGTCAGGAGTACAGCCATACCTAAATAAAGCAAATCCTGTCAGTAGAAGTCGATAACAGTGCCAAGAGCCCCAGATGACGATTACCAGAAGTCTTATTGCCCTGGTACAGTGCAGGAGGAATCCCAAGCAGTTTTTTAAATTATTCCTGGATCTCCCAGCTGCTGCTGGTTTGAGCACAAAGACCAGGCTAAACCTGCACCTTCCTGCCAGGGAAAGCATCCTCTGCTCTGGGTTTGTAGTGTTGTACTAGTTTAGAGGAAACTAGGTGTTTTCTTCCTTTCTAAACTAATGCAACAGGGAGAAAACAGCCTCATGTATTAATGATTGGAATTTTTTTTTTGGTTGCTTTGGGCAAGGCTCAGAATTAAGGAAATGAAAAACCACCTGTGCTTGTTCTTTGAGGGTAGTGTGAAGAGTATGGTAGTGCTGGTGTAGCAGCACAGGCAGATGCACTCGCTTAGCTGCCCCACTGACCCAGCTGGACCAAGAGTTGTTGAGGAGCTGGTCCTTCTGGAGTGCGCTTCTACTTGTCATCCCATCGCATGGTATTGTAGAGCCTTTACACTCGCAGAGTCTGGACATCTAATAGCACCATGGTAGTTGTGAGGGCAACCCCCTCTGTGGCCTGGGCTCTCGTTGTCCTTTGAAATAGAATTCTAGCAGCCAGGATAAGGGCTACACAGGTTTTCAGGTAGAAGCATCGGTCCCTTCACTTGGAGCAGTTAGTGACTCAGCCTGGGGGTAAGCCCTGGGACATGTGGTTATTTCGGTATTGCCGCAAAAAAGTGTAATATGCAAAACTGCTCCGCAGACATCAATAACACAACAATGGTTTTAGTTTGTAAATTTTATGAATGTTGCTGAGGACCAGCCATGTTTCCCTTTCCAGCAGCCTTACTGTTTAGCCCATAAGGTATTCCCTTGTTGTTCCAGCTGTAACAGTTCTCTTGATCTCACTTGCTTGCAGTGTGACTTGGGAGTCTCTCTCTCTCACTCTCCAGCAGGTCATGGAGGGAGGTTCCCCAGCATGTACTTCAGAGCTCCCCTTACCCCACCCAACTCCTATAAGGGATATAGCCACCACTGTACGGTGATTGTACCAATTGCTCCAGGGCTGTTTGCTCCCACTTTTCTGTTGCGGTTGACGACACATGACAAACCTAATCGCACAAAACCAAACCCAGATTTTCTCAAGAGAAGTTCTGCTTGAAAACAGACTCTCTCTGGCTACGCTGCTCCTGATTGGTGTGCCCCTGCTCATTATGGCTTTTTATTTATAGATTCTTATTCTTTCCACCCTTTCATTTTTTAAGAACTGCATTTAGTAAAATAATTTCCCGACATCTGTCTGAGTAAACATAAAATTGGTCCAGTTAAGCAGCAAACTACATCATATTTCTTTGCCATTCTGTACAGTCTCTTTTGCTGGGCCATATCTCTGTAATAAATATGACCACCCCTGCTGGTCAAAGCTTTAGTTGTGTCCAGTAGCATGGTGCTATTATTCCTGGCCTTGATTTCCCGAGAGAAGGTCAGCATGGCCCAAGATACATAATAGCACTGATATGATAGCTCTCGCCCATGTCAGACACGGAAGTAATGGATGTTCGCAAGGCTGTAAGTAGGCATTTATAAATGGAAGATCCTCTTATGGGTCATGTCCTGAGATACGCTGAGCATTAATGTGTTAAATGAGAGAAGTAATGCTCAGAAACCATCTAGCTTAGGCTCCCCTACCTCAACTTGTTTTCTTTGTGCAAACTCCTCAGTTACCATTTATTAGATCCCACAGGCATACCTCTATTTTTCTTTCCATGTACCCCTCTTCATCCCTCCCTTGCCTGTAACCTCTGAATGAAGCAGGGCCAGCAAAGGTTCCCAGATCTGCCACTTCACTGCCCATTTCATCTTCTCCCTGAACGTTAGGAGCATCCCATTCAGACTTAGCGTTCAGACAGCAAGATGAGACTGGGCTCTGAGGAACTGGCAGAGCTGGGGACCTTTGAAAGAAATCTGCATTCCTCCTGCCAAGCCAAAAAAAAAAAAATATTCCCAACCTCCAGAACTAGCTGAAATCTGGGCTGGGCGTTCGTGCGGTTAGCTGTTTGCAAGTGGCCATTTTATGACAGGACACAACTGGGCGGTATGTTAACCCTTTCCTCACCTGAACGGACAGTGTCAAATGTGTCTGTGCACATTTTCAATGTTCTGGGCTGGCATTGGGGGAATAAGAAGAGGGTCTGTCTTTGGGAGAGCTGGAAAGGGTTAAATATTGCACCAACAAATCTCATAGGCTGATTTTACAGGTATTCTGTGTTGGACAGATGGTGTATTTATGCAATAACAATACGAATTAATTCAAAAGAAACCAAGTGTAAAGGTTGACTTTGAGCTTCAAGCTTCTCAGAGAAATTGCTAAACGTCTTTAAAAAGCAAAATGACAGTGGAGTATGACTTGCATTTTGAGGGAGATTATTGTGCCTTAATTGTCAATTTTTTGTATTGTAATTCACATCAGTTCATGGTCTGGAGCAGAAGATACTCTTAGATGCATAGGTTTCTATAAAAAGAAAATAGCTTTCTGTGTCAACGTGTGGATATATATGTATATTGGTATATCTCTCCATACATATGTGTATATATATGTGTGTATATATATATTTATGTAACAGATATTTACGTAGAATATACTGTACATATACACCCACTACTAAACTTGTTCAGACTGTATATAAGTATAAAATGGCCACATCTCTTTGCGTGTGTCTGTCCCCGGAAGGGTGGACTGATTGTTTTTGGATGTCTGCAGCTGTTACCTTGAAGGATGCAATTTCATCTTTCATTTATTTTTCCCCATCTAGACTGTATCAGGATAAACTGTAACGCCAGTAAGTTTTCCCTCAAGTTTCATTTTGTTCTCTTTCTATATATATTAAAATAACTTTATTTTCTTTGCTGTTTTATAAGCTGTTTTTCTTTTCTTTTCTTTTTTTTTTCTTTTCTTTTAAAAAAAAAATCTTGTGAAATTGAAGGTTTGGGGTGGGATATGAAGCTGGGGGGAGGAGGGAAGACCTTACGGTGATTGTATGTGAAAATTTTATGTTAGGTTTCTCCAAGGAGGAGATGAACTGTTATTTCATAGCTTTGCAGAAGAGCACCTGAGGAACCTGATGAGCTGATATTATATTTCACTGGTAACCTGTTGTCTTTATGAAAACTTTTAAAGAACCACATAAGAGTAACAACAGGTACTGTATGCACTTCTCCACTACAAAAAAGGTATGCACATTTAAAAAACAAAACAAAACCAATCCACCTCACACTCTCACTTTATTTCAGAATGGTGACAACTTAACCTGATATTTATTCAGTCATTTTTATTTGGTTATAGGCAAAGGAAAAATTAGTATTATCAGGCTTACATGATAACCTTTTTAATAGCATTTATCTTAGGTTTCTGTAACAAATTGCAGCTGAATCTTTGGGTCACTGAAGATCCCTTTCAGTCTGTAAAAGTAGGGAAGAAGGCTTATAAAATCTTTGTGAAAAATAGTAGTGAAAGATCATATCCAATTTTAGACTGATTGAACAAACAAAAACTTCTGTTCTACATCAAGGAGCTGGTTGAAGTTGATGTAGGCCTCAAAGTAAAAAACACTTCCCAAAGAATGGAGCTGTTTAGCTCTCAAGCGTATTTTGAGGTTTATGTTGCTTAAAACCAGATTCCTGAACTGGCAGTTCCTCTGTGTTAGTTTTTATGTGGAAAGATTTATGGAAGGCTAAACATCATCTCAGAAATGCTGTAAGGGCTTAAAAGGCAAAGATGGTCCACGTGTTCTCTAGAGGCTGTGGTCCTTTTGCTCACCAGTGAGCCCCATCCCAAGCTAGCAGGAAGGTGGAAAGAAGTATGTTGGAACCCCAAAAGCAAACATAGAGCTTTCAAGTAGCAGAGCCAATAGTAGCAGCACCAGGAGAATCTTACTGTGAAGCAGTTTCTTAACAGCTTTGCCATAGTTTTGGACTAGGAGTAGGTTTGTAGTGTTAGAGAGCAGACAGCAGTTGTTTGGGTGTTTTTCCCCACGTACAGTATTTGCAAATTTTAAAAGGTTCTCTGTGGTTGCAGGTAGAAAAAAAAAAACAAACCACACACACAAGGAGATAATAGGTCAGCTTTCTGTCCTGGTCACTGCCCCATGGTTGAGATCATACTTTGCAGGGAAGTGGAAGCAATTAGTTTGTTGGTCTTGGGAAGTCGTCCCTGGGAGCCTGTAGCCAGGGACAAGCCAAAGCATTGGCTGATGTGTGATGATTCCACCTGTGAGCCCTGATATCATGTAGGAGCTTGATGATGAGTTCACAACATTGAGAACAACAGCCTTCTTCAGCCCTATATGCAGGCCTGTGTGGGATTAGTCCTGTATGACTCAAAGCTTGACAGCTTTTGTTGAATTCCTTTCGCTCCTCGAAGTTTTAACACTGTGGTCACGGTATTTGAAGATAGAGTGGCTAATAGGAAAAAGTGTCTTGAATCTCTGCTGAGATTGCCAGTTTTTACCCAGCAGCGCTGAGAACATTTGCATAAAAATAGGATCTTTTGCTTCCTAAGAGTTCATATGCTTTTGTTGCTTAGCCACCTGTAACTCTATCTAAACACTTGCACCATAGTTCGTGTTGATGCATGTTGTCTGAATATCCATATCCGTTCCTCTGGTACTGGACAACAATCTGATGTTGTTGTCATCATCTTCAACTTTTCGTGACAGCTGGGTGTTACAGGCTGAGCTATGGAAGACTATCGTCGGGTGGGAAATCAGCTTTAGTAGCAAGGAGCAATGGTCTGGTTTTCATGCAAATCAAAATCTAGCAGTAATTGGGAGAAACACTCAAAAAAGAAAAAAAAGGGAAAAGAGAATCCTATCATCAGAGCAGTGGGAAGACAGTCTGAATCCATTGCTTTTGTTAGTTTGCCCATAAGCATCAAAACATCTTGAATCATTTTGCTTCCATGCATTTTTAATAGTTGAGTCTGTTGCATTTTTAAATACAGTCTTCCTCTGAAGGTTTGTATTTATTTATTTATTTTAAAACACTTTGGATTCTCCTAATTTATTTTTTATGATACTCTGCTGAAAATGAACAACCCTACTCCAAGTCTCTCCAACACTGTGTTTTGTTGCTGCGTGTTGCAGTGTCTCAGGTCATCTGTCCTGTTTCCTAGAAGGGAACTTGCTGGGAACTGATTGATGAAAAACTGTATAATCTTGTGTGAATAAAATATGTTTAGGTAGGAGCAGACCAAATATCACTCTAACCACTCTTGCAGGCACACTGACATTTACTTGTGCAGAGGGAGTTAACCACACACAGATGGGTCTGCTAGGGTCCGTTGAAATGAGCAGTGTTTTAAAGTAACTTCAGAAATGGGATTCCGAATTAGTTGAAGAGTTTCAGATCAAGCAATCAGCATTGCTAACTGAATAGAAGGAACCTGGTGCATGGTTTTAAAGGTAAACAGAGCTGTACTTTTGGAGTCTCATAGAATGCATAGGTTAAAGAGCCTACCACAGCTCATGTTGTTTGAGAGGTATCTAGTATAGTGTCCCAGGTAAGCATTTAACTTTCAATATACTTGCTTTTAATTTTCATTGAAAGGATTGGGGGGTTTTGGCATGCATATCTTTGGGTTGTCATATACCTGATGCAAAATACTGTTTTCCATCACTTCATTTCTTCTTATCCTCTCTGTGTTCCTCATCACTGTCATATCTCACAGTTCTGAAAAGTACGACTAACATAATTTCCTAGAACAGGAACATTTTTTTACTTTCTCTGTATTTATTTTAATACTAATCTCATCCTCACTTTTAACTCTTAAGGATACCTAAGCTGATCTTATCTGTTTCTGCATACTGATAGAGTTTGAATTTAGAAGGACCCAACAGTGCTGTTGCTTACATAGATGTAACTGGGTGGTAAGTCTCTTTTCCTCTGAGTATAAAATCAGCACAACAAAAAGCAGGCTCAGGATCCCAAAATGCACTGTGTGAAGGTGCATTGAATGATTCCTCAACATAATGCAGACATAACAGATAGCACAATTTTGTTGGCTGGATTTATGGGGAAAATAGGTATAGTTTAAATACCCTTGTATTTTTGCATAGATATATTTTGGGGTTTTAAATAGTATTCCTAAAGAAGAGTAGCTCTTTGGTCCATCTCCCGTAAACTGTTTCCTGAAATATATAGTTCACTTCAAAGAAAGTTAAAGTTGTGGTAATTTTATAGTTTGTGTCGTAATATCTAGTGCTCTGATTGTTCTTAATTTTTTCAAAGGTATCTAGTCTCCAATTTCCTTATTCCCTTTTCACTGAACCCCCACTTCATATCAGTCCAGATCAGGACAGTTTTCAGCATTCTACCCAATATTAAGTGTGGAGGACAGGGCTGTGTGTGCTACAGATTTACGAGCTTTTGGAGGTGTCTTCACTTCGTGTTCTTTCTAGGATACTGCTTGTATTATTTATCTGGGGCTAGTTCTCTCTCCTTGTCACAAACCTTTTATGTGGTGTGTCAGTAGTCACAGTCACGTGATTTGATATTACCTTTATGGGAGGTTTGATCTTCCAAAAGTAGCCGTCTTTGGGACAGCAAATACTTCTGTCTTATCACTTGTTGTTTCATAATGAGGTCTTTTCTTCTCACTAAAGCATGCCAGACAAGCTGTTACCTATTTTCATGTGACTTGTGAAGCCTCAGCAAACCCTGATTCTCTTCTCTTACCTGTTGCTAAAAGCACAAATGGAAGAGGATGAAAAATCACTGTCCAATCACTACTATGAGGCCCCATGGTTAGCATGTTGTTTCAGATCCAATTAATTTTGGTCTTGTCTTTGACAGTAGAAGACATCTAGAATACGAGATTGGTTCTCCCCTCTCAGTTGCCATGCTTACTCTATTTAGTGCCTTAATTCAATGCACCATTAGTGTTTTGTTTTCGTAAGTGCCACTGTAACAACATAAAATAGGAACCTGTGATGTGTAACTCTCTGGGAGAGGTTTAAGGTTTCTTTTTTCCATATCATCATCAGTAAATAGGAAGCTGTTCTAATCTAATCAAAATGTTGTAAAACCAAGTGCACTTATCTGATTCCAGTGATGTTGCTGTCATTTTAATAAAAGCTTAATAGTACTCTAACATGAAAACATTATTTGGAAAGTGAAGAGGTGTGATTAAACATACACATCATATTTGTGACTCTGGTATCTCCTAACTCCATTTAAACATAATCAGGAAGAAATGAATGCTTATGCAGCCTGAAAAGTGACGAGACATTAGTATGTCATATTGTAGTGGTGAAAGCGAAGCTGATGTCTGTAGCATCTGTACAGCCTTGTTGAGAACGGTCTCACCTTTGAGCAGTCTCAGACTCGGGGTGCTGGTCTAGCCTCATGCTGCTGCTGCGCTGCAATGCAGAAGAAGGGGAGGGAGCAAGACTGTCTTTGGAAGACTTTTCCTCCTGTCAGGTGATGAAACAGCAGTCCTTCTGGGTATTTTGTCAGATGGTAAACTAAGAATTCTGTCAGAGGAAAACATACTATGCTGGATCCAACAGCCTGAGACAGTGGAGGCTACTCCACTCTATGTTCCCAGGTTCAACCAGTAGTGAGGTTGAAGCTGCATTCCTGGCAGGCACTTTGTTAGTGATCACACATTTACTCCCAGACCCACGCTCATTCTGGGCTCTGGCAGCACCAACATAGGGGCCCTCTGACCCACAGTCTGACTCCAGTTGCTGCCCTCACACCACTGTACACCCTCATGCACACAGAATAGAGAGCCTTCACCCACAAAGGAGTTAGAAAGGAATTTAATACGAAGGCAGGACAA